GACAAAGCAGGAAAGAACATCCAATGGAAAAAAGACAGTCTCTTTAACAAATGGTGCTGGGAGAACTGGACAGCAACATGCAGAAGATTGAAACTAGACCACTTTCTCACACCATTCACAAAAATAAACTCAAAATGGATAAAGGACCTGAATGTGAGACAGGAAACCATCAAAACCTTAGAGGAGAAAGCAGGAAAAGACCTCTCTGACCTCAGCCGTAGCAATCTCTTACTCGACACATCCCCAAAGGCAAGGGAATTAAAAGCAAAAGTGAATTACTGGGACCTTATGAAGATAAAAAGCTTCTGCACAGCAAAGGAAACAACCAACAAAACTAAAAGGCAACCAACGGAATGGGAAAAGATATTTGCAAATGACATATCGGACAAAGGGCTAGTATCCAAAATCTATAAAGAGCTCACCAAACTCCACACCCGAAAAGCAAATAACCCAGTGAAGAAATGGGCAGAAAACATGAATAGACACTTCTCTAAAGAAGACATCCGGATGGCCAACAGGCACATGAAAAGATGTTCAGCGTCGCTCCTTATCAGGGAAATACAAATCAAAACCACACTCAGGTATCACCTCACGCCAGTCAGAGTGGCCAAAATGAACAAATCAGGAGACTCTAGATGCTGGAGAGGATGTGGAGAAACGGGAACCCTCTTGCACTGTTGGTGGGAATGCAAATTGGTGCAGCCACTCTGGAAAGCAGTGTGGAGGTTCCTCAGAAAATTAAAAATAGACCTACCCTATGACCCAGCAATAGCACTGCTAGGAATTTATCCAAGGGACACAGGAGTACTGATGCATAGGGGCACTTGTACCCCAATGTTCATAGCAGCACTCTCAACAATCGCCAAATTATGGAAAGAGCCTAAATGTCCATCAACCGATGAATGGATAAAGAAATTGTGGTTTATATACACAATGGAATACTATGTGGCAATGAGAAAAAATGAAATATGGCCTTTTGTAGCAACATGGATGGAACTGGAGAGTGTGATGCTAAGTGAAATAAGCCATACAGAGAAAGACAGATACCATATGGTTTCACTCTTATGTGGATCCTGAGAAACTTAACAGGAACCCATGGGGGAGGGGAAGGAAAAAAAAAAAAAGAGGTTAGAGTGGGAGAGAGCCAAAGCATAAGAGACTGTTGAGAACTGAGAACAAACTAAGGGTTGATGGGGGGTGGGAGGGAGGAGAAGGTGGGTGATGGGTATTGAGGAGGGCACCTTTTGGGATGAGCACTGGGTGTTGTATGGAAACCAATTTGACAATAAATTTCATATATAAATAAAATAAATAAATAAATAAATAAATAAAAATAAAAAATAAAATAAAATAAAATAAAATCAATGCACAGAAATTGGTTGCGTTCCTATACACCAACAATGAAGCAACAGAAAAAGAAATCAAGGAATTGATCCCATTTACAATTGCACCAAAACCCATAAAATAGTTAGGAATATATCTAACCAAAGAGGTGAAAAATCTATATGCTGAAAACTATAGAAAGCTTATGAAAGAAATGGAAGAAGACACAAAAAAAATAGAAAAAGACTCCAAGCTCCTGAATAGGAAGAACAAATATTGTTAAAATGTCAATACTACCCAAAGCAATCTACATATTCAATTCAATCCCTATCAAAATAACACCAGAATTCTTCACAGAGCTAGAACAAATAATCCTAAAATTTGTATGGAACAAGAAAAGACCCTGACTAGCCAAAGCAATCTTGAAAAAGAAAACCAAAGCAGGAGGCATCACAATCCCAGACTTCAAGCTATACTACAAAGCTGTAATCATCAAGACAGTATGGTACTGGCACAAGAACACACTCAGATCAATGGAACAGAATAGAGAACCCAGAAATGGACCCACAAATGTATGGCCAACTAATCCTTGCAAAGCAGGAAAGAATATCCTATGGAATAAAAATAGTCTCCTTAGCAAGTGGTGCTGGGAAAACTGGACAAAGACTTGAAGAAGAATGAACCTGGACCACTTTCTTACACCATACACAATGATAAACTCAAAATGGATGAAAGGCCTCAATATAAGACAGGAAGCCATCAAAATCCTCAAGGAGAAAGAAGGCAAAAACCTCTTTAATCTTGGCCGCAGCAACTTCTTACTCAACACATCTCCAAAGGCAAGGGAAACAAAAACAAAAATGAACAACTAGGACCTCATCAAAATAAAAAGCTTCTGCACAGTGAAAGAAACAATCAGCAAAACTAAAAGGCAACCAACGGAATGGGAGAAGATTTGTGAATCACATATGAGATAAAAGGTTAGTATCCAAAATCTATAAAGAATTTATCCAACTCAACACCCAAAAAACAAATAATCCAGTGAAGAAATGGGCAAAAGACATGAATAGACACTTCTCCAAAGAAGACATTCAGATGGCCAACCGACATGAAAAAATGCTCAACTTCACTCATCATCAGGAAATGCAAATCAAAACCACAATGAGATACCACCTGACACCTGTCAGAATGGCTAACATTAACAACTCAGGCGATGACGGATGTTGGTGAGGATGCAGAGAAAGAGGATCTCTTTTGCATTGTTGGTGGCAATACAAGCTGATGAAGCCACTCAGGAAAACAGTATGGAGGTTCTTCAAAAAAACTAAAAACAGAACTACCCTAGGACCCAACAATTGCACTACTAGTTATTTATCCACGGGATCCAGGTGTGCTATTTCAAAGGAACACATGCACCCCAATGTTTATAGCAGCACTATCAACAATAGCCAAAATATGGAAGGAGCCCAAATGTCCATCGATGGATGAGTGGATAAAGAAGATGTGGTGTATATATACAATGGATTATTACTTGGCAATCAAAAAGAATGAAATCTTGCCATTTGCAGCTACGTGGATGGAACTGGAGGGTATTATGCTAAGTTAAATTAGTCGGAGAAAGACAAATATTATATGACTTCTCATATGACGAATTTAAGAGACAAAACAGATGAATATAAGGGAAGGGAAACAAAAATAATATAAAAACATGGAGGGGGACAAAACATAAGAGACTCATAAAAATGGAGAACAATCAGAGGGTTACTGGAGGGTTTGTGGGAGGTGGGATGGGCTACATGGGTAAGGGGCACTATGGAATCTACTCCTGAAATTATTGTTGCAGTATATGCTAACTAACTGGGATGTAAATTTAAAAAAATAATAATAATTAAAAAAAAGAAATAAAATATACCCTCATTAATGTCAGAGGCCATTTTCATCTTTTTTATTTCATTTTTCTAGGTATTTTATTTCTAATATACAGGATTATTATATGCTCCATGTCTACTATATAATGATTCAACAATTCCACACATTTCTCAGTGTAATTAAGACAAGTGTGCTCTTGGGGAGCCTGGGTGGCTCAGTCGGTTAAGCATCTGACTTCGGCTCAGGTTATGATCTCACAGTCTGTGGGTTCAAGCCCCGCATCGGGCTCTGTGCTGACAGCTCAGATCCTGGAGCCTGCTTCCAATTCTTTGTCTCCCTCTCTCTCTGCCCCTCCCCTGCTCATCCTTTGTCTCTCTCTGTCGCAAAAATAAATAAAAACATTAAAAATTTTTAAAAAAAGACAAGTGTGCTTTTAATTCCTTTTATCTATTTCACCTATTCCCCTGCTTACCTCCCCTTTGGCAACCACCAGTATTTTTTTTCCTGTATTTAGGAGTCTGGAGTGGATTTTTTTAAATTTTTTTATGTGTTATTTTCCTTAAAGATTGTTTTATTTCTTAAATTCCACATAGGGTGAAAACATATGGTATTTGTTTCTCTGACTGACTTATTTTATTTAGCATTATACTTTGTAGGTTCATCCATGTTATTAAAAATGGCAAGATTCCATTCCTTTTAGTGGCCAAGTAATATTCCACTGTGTGTATTGGGTGAGTAATATTCCATTGTGTGTGTGTGTGTGTGTGTGTGTGTGTGTGTGTGTGTGTATCTCACACCTTCTTGATCCATTCATATATCAATAGACACTTGTATACTTTGGTTGCATTCATTTCCTGGTTTTGGTATATAATGCTGCAATAAACATAGGGTTGCATATATCTTTTCAAATTCATGTAACTAAAAAGCTTTTGCAACAGAAATGGAAACCATAAACAAAACAAAAGGCAACCAACTGAATGGGAGAAGATATTTCCAAATGATATATACAAAAAAAAGTTTAATATAAAATACATAAATATCTTATATAACTCAACACCAAAAAAAACCAAATAATCCAAGTAAGAAATCCAAATTAAAAAAATAATTCAGCATAGGACATGAATTGAATTTTCCCAAAGAAGAAATAGATGGCCAAAGACATAAGAAAAGGTACTAGCATCACTAATCATCAGGTAAATGTAAATTAAAATCACTGTGAGATATATCTTTACACCTGTAAGAATGGATAAAATAAAAAATACAAAATAACTAGTGTTGTTGAGGAAATTGAGAAAAAGGAGGCCTCACACATTGTTGGTGGGAATGTAAATTGGTACAGCTACTATGCAAAACAGTATGGAGCTTCCTCAAAAAATTAAAATACATACCATACAATCCAGTAATTATGCTACTGGATGTATTTTAAAGTAATCCCTATACCCAATGAGGAGCTCAATCTCACCACTGTGAGATCAAAAGTTGCATGCTCTACTGACTAAGCCAACCAGGTGCCCCTCCCCCAGCTACTGAATATTTAACCAAATAAAATGAAAATAATTTAAAAATTTTTAATATTTATTTATTTTTGAGAGAGAGAGAGCATGCACAAGTAAGGTATGTTCAGAGAGAGAGGGAGACACAGAATCTGAAGCAGGCTCCAGGCTGTGAGCTGTCAGCACAGACCTGACGTGGGGCTCAAACTCACGGACTGTGAGATTATGACCTGAATCAAAGTTGGATGCTTAACTAACTGAGCGACCCAGGCACCCCTAGTTTTTTTAATATTTTTTTAAAAGCCAGTAAACAACTATAGAAATAATTAACAAATATACAAGTAAGAAATAATAAAGAAGAAAGAGCAAAGCCACATCCTTCATTCCACAATAAATACAGAGCTCTATTAGTGTTCCCCCACATCAGCATCCCATGGGAGACCTAACTTTCTATGTGCTCAAAAATACTCTCCACTATTATGCAAAGGGACCAGACTGCATTCAGGTGTATTTTATCAAGCAGAATATGTACTGGCACTGCTGAGTTCAAGGTCTACAGTTTTGGCCTTAACTTAGGTGGGGTTAATAGACCAGGCTGTGCTGGATCCCATAGCTGAAGTAGATAGCAAACCCAATCAGCGTCCAGACACCAAATCGGGCCTAGGTGGCAGCTGTCATCTGCATCATAAGGTAAACATTCATGAAGATGCTCAGTAGTGGGAGAAGAGGCAGAGCAGGGACCTTAAAGTGAAGGGAACTGGAGCTCTGAGGCTGTCTCCAGACGACCCCAGTAAGCCCAGTGATGAGTACCAGGAGCAGCACAACCACTGAAATCCACACTGGGTCTCCAGAAAGCAGAATTGGCCACTGGGCCAGCACCAAGCCAAGAAGAATTAGCAGCAGAGCAAGCAGTGCGGAGCAAACACAGACAACCCGGCCAGAGAGTGGAGTGGGGGTGGGGCTGCCTGGAAAAAGTAGTCCTTGTAGAGTTAGCCTCTCTGCTGCCGGTCCATTCTCCTCCTGAACCATTGGTTCATTTCCTCCACTCTGCTGATATCGAAGGATGAGAACACAAAGAGCAACCAGGGAATAAGCTAGCAGAGACTCAAGTGACCTGAGGTCCACAAGATCAGTGAGTTCCAAGAAGAATGCCATGTTTGCTGCAATAATACTAAATATCATAGAAGCCATGATGCGGGAGTATGAGCCAGTACACACTCTAGCAAGGACAGGGAACAGGAGGCCATCTTTTGCCATCATGTGTATCAACCGATGAATGGGGAACATAAAGCTCAAAAGGCTGGCAGAAAGACTACAGAAAAATCCAAAAGCTACAACATAGTACGCAGGTACCCAGCCAATAAGGAAAAATGCCTCAGGCAAGGTGCTCCCACGTTGAAGCTGATAGTAAGGCACCATAAGCGTAAGTGCTGAGGAGACACCACAATACAGCACAAAGCAGATGAACAGTGAAATCATAATGCCCATGGGGATGGAACACTGGGAATTCTGCTCTTTCTTGACTGTTGTAAGAATGATGCTGAAACCTATAAATGCATAGAAACAGGTAGCTGTTCCACGGAGAATCCCCTCAAAGCCAAATGGCACAAATCCTCCAGAGCCCAGAGGGCCCAAGTTTGAGGTGTCATTGAGCCCAGCTTTTACATAGTCGTCTTCTGTGAGTTTCCAGTTTTGCAGGTCTCCCTTAATGAAGCCAGAGATGATGACAAAACCATGAACCAAAAGTTTCACCAATGTAATCACTTTGGCAACCAGGAAAAATGTATGAAATGGCAGTCTGCAATTCGATGAGTAACAACATTAGGCCCCCAACAATGAAGCCTAGATATTCTGCAAGTACTTGGGGAACATGAGGTGAGATGTTCTCATTAAGAGTCTGAGCGATCTGGTTCCCAATCAGGTTGGCAAAAACTAAGGTCCAGGCACAGGCCACAATGGCTGTATCAGCAACAAAGGAGAGGATGAGGTTCCAGCCACTGAGGAAAGCCCAGAGTTCACCTATAGTGACAAAGCTGTAGAGATATGCAGAGCCAGAATGGGGAACCTGGGTACGGGCACTAATCTCTGCATAGCACAGCCCAGCCAACACAGAAGATAGGCCAGCCACCAAAAAGCAGATCACAATGGATGGCCCTGCTTGACTGCTAGCCACCTCCCCAGCCAGGACATACACACCTATACCCACTGTGCGGCCCACACCGAGGGCAACTAAATCCAGAGTGCTCAGGTGGATGTTAACTTGAATCCCATGCTCTGTTGGCGTATTTTTGCATACAAGCTTTTGAAAAAATCTGCGAAGTATCTGATACAGCATTCTAGCTGGAATTGAAGAAGATTCTAGGATCAGACAGCTGTATCAAGCCCATGTAGTCTGGGATCAGTCTGGGATCATGTTTGGTGAGGCTGAATTAAGCTAAGTCGAGTTGGGGCTGCCACAGTCCATTGGTCAGGCCTCAAAGATCCTGTTTTGTATTTCTCCTGGTGTCTGTCATCCCTCCATAATGCCTAAATAAACAATAAATTCATACTGAACAATTGTGTTCAACCAGGCAACAAAAGCTCAGAAGTCCAACATCACTTGTTGAGCACAAATATAGAAACTGACACTAAAGACATCATAGAAAAATCAACCCTGCTTTCTCCCCTGAAAAACTGCAAAATACTTCCCAACATTTCCATTTTTACACACCATATGACATAATCTCACATGGGTTCAACTAACTCATGTAGCTTCATGTACTAATTAAGCTGTAAGACACAACAGGGTTTGAATTTATTGTGTAATCATTCACACCATGGATGTTTGTGTGGTACTTGAACATGAGTTATGACACATTAATTCACAGATGAGAGGGCCTCATTGCAGTTATAGAACCATATTTTAAATACCATCTGAATTTAAAATACAAATATTGGTCCCCCAATCTTAAAACCCTTAGCCCCCAAATCAGCTAGCCAATGTCAGACGTCACTATGGCCCCCTTTCTCCTCATGCTGTATCATTCATTTAGCTGTACTGATGGCAAAGGATATACACTCCAACCCTTTTCTTTACCCACTTAGGCCCACATGGGGTGCTGTGAGAAGACATGAAGGGGGAGAAAGGGGCAGGGCCTTCATAAACACCAGTATGAAAGAGAGAAACATGCTGTCTGGTGATAAAACACTGGCGAAATGGATGAAGCAGCCAACCAAGGGTACATTAAAGGGAGAAGAGACAGAAAGGCAATTTTGTGAATCCTGACATTCAATAAACCTCACCCAAAACAGCCAAACAAAAATTCACCACATGTTTTATGTCCACAGTTAAGAGAGTATGAGGGGTAGAGATAAAAGAAATAAGTCACCTAGCTCATAGCTCACAACCAAAACAATTCCCTCTGTCTCCTCCCTCTCTGGCTTCTAGGAGAGAAGGTGAGCTCATTTCTGCAGATGGTCTCCTCAGTGGCCTCACTGTGCTCTATAAACACCCTGCACCATCTGTGATGTCAGTTTTCAGCAGCCTTGGAATCTGCCCTGCTCTGTGAACTTGTGTTAAAACACTAATTGTAACTCCTTAGTAATTTTTTCACAAGGAGTTATTTTTAACTCCCACAAACCATTGTCTGACTATACTAAATATATTTTCTTAATTAATGTACACCACATGTGGTTCTTCTTTTCGCCTCCTCCCCTGCTGCTATTCAAATGGCCCCTCCTCAAGGAGAATAAGTTTTGGATGAACAATTCACAGCAATGCCCCAGAAAAGTAGTGGAAAACAGAGAACACAAAGTCATGCAGCCCTCACTTTCCTCTCTACTCAGGCTTTGATTTTGAGAGAATTTTTAGCAAATGTTGTCAGAGGTTTGTAAAGACAGAATAATCAAGTCAAAATTGAAAAATATTTTTTATACATTATCAGAAGGTACGCTTGGTATTGGTTGGACTTCCACCTACAAATCCATCTAGATTCCTTATTTGCCATTTACCAGTTCCAATGTTATGATGTACCAACAAACACATCTGACCAATAAGGAAGGTCAATTAAGCCATGGAACTTTTTGCACTATGAATGTGATTGATGTGTCTCCACCCACCCCCAGGCTTCCAAACCTCCTGTGGTTCACCAATGCCCTTCCTTCATAGTCTTACCTGTTACTGATTCCTCCAACCTCATCTCCTGCCCAGTTCCTGCATTCAGCCATGAAATTCTATACTGACCCCATTCCTTTGCCTCTAATGCCCCCTTGTTTTCTTCCTATAGCTAACCCCCACTTCTCTTTCAGTTCTCAGCTCAGAGATTGCTTCCCTAGGAAGTCTCCCTTGACACTTATGCTGCCCTTACCCTTACCCTTACGAGTCTCCTAGCGCCCGGCTTACCCCATGTGCCATTTATTCTAATATATCAACATTTTAGGTCAGCTGCCAGTCTCCTCCATTAGACTGTGAGTTAGGTGCACAAAAAATATTTGTTGAACAAATGTATAAACAGAGAAGAGAAATCTGAAAGAGCACATAATCAAATATTCTTATCTACTTGATTTTGAGTATATACTTTGTAGCCAAGCAATCTTTATAAACCCAGCTAATGTAAATATATAAATGGTATCATCTTCCCTGTAGAAGGCAAGCAAAATGTAAAGTGTGGAAGAAAAACCAACTGTGATAAAACTTTGACCACAGATAATTCCTGGCAAGTATGATTCACACAGGGTGATAAAGAATTCTTTCCTTTTGAGGACACTTGTCTTGAAACTATCAGGTTGCCTTGGGTTATATGCAATGAACCACCCATGCCCAGTTAGAGAATCCCCACTTTTTTGAAGGCATCATACTCAGGCATTAAAATATAGGTAGGATGTCCTAAGGCAGAGGTCTCACTTCATGGGACACAGGGAGGCATAATGAAGACAACTGGGGGACACTTTCAAACTTCATAACCTCTCCTTCTGGAATTCTTTTCCAACTAGCAATGTACTTCCCATGACTGCTCTAAACCACCCCAAATGACAAGAAATTATCATCAATTTCAAAGCAAAGATATTGTAAAGCTTCCTTCACAGGAAGGCAGCACAGTTTAGTAGTCAAGAGTAAGGCTCTGCAGGTAGATGGTTCAGGTTCAAGTCAAAACTCAACCTCATAGTTGGGTGACTGTGGACAAATTAGCTCACCTCTCAGTGTGTTAGTTTTCACAACAGTCAAATGGGAGTAAAAGTAAATACCTCATAGAGTTGTTGTCAGGATTTAGTGAAATGATGCCTGTAAAGTACTTCGCTCAGTAAATAGCATATAATATGTACTTAATATATTCTACCTAATACTTAATATTTAAATATGATTCACAGTCCCCAAACTTTGAAAATTAGTCTTTATAAATGTCTAGCCTCAAAATCACCCACTAAAACCCAAGCCTGTTAGCTAGTCCTCATGAAACAATAAAAACAGTTTTATTCCATAATTTACTTTGAAACTCTAAGAACTCTAATTAGACACCCTCTTACATGCTGGTGCTAAACCCTTGGGGGTCCTAGGCTTATTGAGTTAGACCAGGCATCCAAATATCCAAGGCTCAAATATAATAATAATAGTAATAATAATAATAATAATAATAATAATAATAATAATAATACATAATGAGGCAGATGCCTCATCTTATTTCTGGAAGAGTCAGTGCTGCGTACTACAGTGGTAAAAGCGTTGAACATTATATGAGAGATTTTGGATATAAGCGCTGGCTCTTGTGCTTGACTACATAAACTAGGGTAATTTGCTTAATATCTCTAAGCCTCAGTTTCCTCATCCATAAGGAACCTTACTTTACTTCCCTTATTGGATCAGTATGATAATTCCATGAAAAGATACAAACTGTAATGTACTGCTCTTGGGAAATTAACTGGGTCCACCACCCTGAAGCACAATCTTAGTGGAATTAAGAATACACACATAGTCAGCACTGTAGTTGTTGAGTGGATGGATGTATCTAAATACACATGTAGAGCATAGACTGGAAGATCATTTATTAAATACAGGAAAGTAAGTACCCTCCCCACCCCCCACTGTGAGGAGGGGAAATGAGAATAGAGATAGGAATGAAAGGGGAAAATAAAACACATTTTGTAAAGGGGTCTGACAGGAAGCAATGGGGCTAATAGTTCATGACTGAGGGAGCTGTTGACTCCACTCTGCACTACAGGTTTAACAAAGAAATTGCATGAGAAAATGTGAGAGTACAGGGTTTAGGGCATGATAAATGGCAGGCAGTCAATATATTTTAATTGAAGGGTAACTGGATCCTATAATCATCAGGACATGGAGAATACAGAGAAAGACTACCCGCTAGAAAAAGGGTGGAAAACAAGGGAAGATGGGACACCCCTCCCACCAGTTCCCTCTGAACCCATTTCCCTTTTCCCAATTCCTCTTTCTCCTTCAGCTCCTTGTCTCTGAAGGCTTCTTACTGGGCACTAAGGATGCTTGTACCTCTTTACTCCCTCTGAGGAACCATATCCAGACAACCACCTCCCCACAAAGACATGACAGTGGTTCTTCACATTTGTTGAATCACAGAGCCCTCTGATGTTGGTCACCTCAAAATAATATTCTACACTCTTCTGAAGTCCACCCATGGGCCCTGAGCAGGAATCCCGGAGGACCATCTGAACGGCAGGTTTAGAGATGGCTAATGCTTTTGATCATTTCTGTTTCCCTCAACTTTGTTGTGCAAGGTCGTCCTTGTATTCTTCCCACCTTTACTGAAGATGAGGGAAAGTGGGATAAAGACAAAGTATGATGATCCAGAGAAGCACCCCACAGGAAAAAAAAAAACATCTGGGAATTAAATAATCATGTCTATTTTACTTCAACAGATGCAGGCAGACAAACAAATGAACAACTGAACTTATAGAAGACAAAACAAACCCATGGATTGGGAATCCTGAGAGAGCCTACCACAAACCCAACTTATTACAACACAGAGAAACATTACCCTCAAACTCCATGTTTAGAAATGCCCTTTCCCTGTGCAATAATCTGCAATTAGTCCAACAGTTTATATTCAGTCCAGACTCTCTGACCCAATTGTCAGAGTCCTGCTGTAATTCTCCCCCTACCCTCAGGCTCATCACCTCCTTACATCCTGACTTACTCTTCGTGGGATGAGACTTGGTACTGGGAAAGTTGCCTGTCCTGCCATGGAGGCCATCCTCACTCTTTTCTGTCCATATTGACCCTCCAGCTCTTCTCAACCCTATTCTACAGCCTTCCTCTGCATCTACAAAGCCTTGCCTAAGCCATCTTGACTGATGCCCATCTCCAACTTTCCTCCTCTTCCCACCAGTACTTACAGTCCATCCTGATGCACAGCTGAAACTGATTTTCCCTTTCTGTCTGATGGTGCCTTGTGTGAGTCACTGAAATTCCTTACAGTCTAAAAGCTAAAAGCTTCTCCTAAAAGCTTCTAGGAGGCAGGGCCAGGATCTATATCCCTTCTCCTTCTGGATGCCACAGTCTCATCTCCAACTCTCATTACCCAGGAAAAATATCTGCTCATAAGCGTGCCAAACGAGTATAAGAG